ATCACAGACCTCTACCCCTGAAACAAATAGTACATTATATGTTAATAAAAAAATTTAAAAAATATTAGATTTGTTGAGATCGTGAAAGTACTTGCACCCTCAGGTGCACACACATGCACACTTGACAGGATTTTTGTTAAAACAATTGTACCTCAAGAAAATATTTCTACAACCTTGCAGAGGAAAGGCTCCTAAGTACCAAAACAGGAAGGATCTACAAAGTAAATCTTTCCATGAAGAGTAAAATAAAAACAACAACCCCTTGCTGATGGTGGCTTCCATAGTTAGTTGAGTCCCCATTTTTTTCCTGAAGGAACTAACCCTTGTCAATCTCAGATGACACATGTGGGATCAGGAGAAATCATCGTCCAAGGCAAAAATTAGCTGAGAAAACCACAAAATATCAAGATAATAAGTTAGATCATAAAAGAAAGAGAAAGGAAGGAAGGAAGGACGGAAGGAAGGGCGAGAAAGAAATCTCACACCAAAAGAAGAGAAAGGAAAAAGGCAAAGACGGACCAGGAGACTAAGGAACACAGAGAAGTCACTAAGGCTGGAGGAGAAGAGAACCAGCCATCTATGTGGTCTCCAGGCAGGTAGGCAGAAAGCCAGGGGCTTAAGTGCTTTATTTTTCTGTGTTCATACCCTCAAATGCTCATCTCAACCAAGTTCCAAAATCCATTAAAATAATACAGCCTCCATAACTCAGATTTTAACTTCAAGAAGTCACATAGCCAGGCTTTATAAGGTTTCCCCATCCCATTAATTTCGCCTTACCTATACCAAAGAAATACTCCTACATGAAGTCACAGGGGGTTCGTCTATAACTGTGGGTCACCGGGATGCTGGCCTTGAACTGTGTGGCTTTATAAGGGAAACGATCACGCTGCAGAGGCTGGCAGGCTTCCCTCTGCCTCCCGGCTTCTCTCTGCCTCCCTGGTTCTGTTTATTCCGAGACCCTCAAATCGTGCGGAAGGAGCCACAGCCTTGCCGAGAGGTTGCAAAGCTGGTGTGCGGGTGGCGGAGATATTGCCAAGTCAGCAAACTGACAGATGGCAAATTGGAAAGCAAGCAAGGGAACGGACAACACAATGGGGATGCTGAACAACTGTAGGACACAACGCTGTTTGGTTTTAATTAACAATTTGGTATGCAAATCTAGTAAGCAATGGAAGAAGGAAAAAGACTCAACCCAAATCACGCAAAAACAGAGCTGGGAGAGACATTAAAAATAACTTAGATCCCCCCCACCCAAATATTTATCAAGGGAGGAGACACATGTCACATGACTTGTGTAAGGCCTTGCTGCTGACAAGTTAATTCAGTCCCTAGACATATAAGCAAATAAAAACAAACAAACCCATACATCAAGGTTGCTTAGGATTAGTAAGGGATCACTCTGAATATAAAGACAGGAAAAACAGTCCCCTCCTCCTTCTGACAGGTGATGAGAAGATAATGTTAATCCTTCCTCCTGGAGGGAATAAGAGTGGAAATGGACCCACGGTCAGAGACATCACCTTTCCGAAACTATAAGTGAGTCTCCTTTAAGGATAGGGCTTTTTATGGTCATTGCAAGTGTTTATAATCAGGGAAGGAAAAGTTGGACAAAAAAGGCCAAAATGAAGAGGATCTGGCATCCCCCATAATTGTGGCTCTAAGGAGAGGAATGACAGGATCGCGTGTGGGTAATGTCCAAGTAATTTCTGAATCGAATCCAAATCCCCTAGCTGCTATCAGGAAAACACTGTGTGTGAACTGAGCGGCCCACAGTCATCCACCTCACAGCAAGGGATGCACAGTCCTGTCGCTGCCCTTCCAGAATCCTCCAGTGTCATTGGCAAATAGTCAGATAGAGGCGGTGGAAATGAGGAAGGGCGGAAGGGGGCTGTGCAGTTTGTATAAATCCTCATCTGCCGAGATGAGTGTGGAAGAGGAGCTGATGCAAATCTTTAAGATCATAAAGGCGTGGGTAGGGTAAACATGGGACTTTTATAGCCAGATGCTGTTAAAACCCGTAGTTTCGGAGAGGCTGGTAGAGGTGACGCCTTGGAGATGTTAGAGGTAAATTGCGGATAAATAAAAGTACCACTTAACCAGTCTATAATAATCTTCTGTCACTCATTACTTCAAGAACAGGTGAAGGCAGGGGCACCTGGGTGGCTCAGTTGGTTAAGCGACTGCCTTCGGCTCAGGTCATGATCCTGGAGTTCCAGGATCGAGTCCCGCATCGGGCTCCCTGCTCAGCGGGGAGTCTGCTTCTCCCTCTGACCCTCCCTCCTCTCATGTGCTCTCTCTCTCTCAAATAAATAAATAAAATCTTTTTTTTAAAAAAAAAGAACAGGTAAAGGCTGAAAATATATAGAATTCCAAAGGGTGGCTTACGTAACAGCAGGTCTAATAGTTCCATTCTATGTTCTGAGACTAGATCCCTAACATGTTGGGATGTAGACTGGTTTGAGATGCTATCCCTATACT